AAGGAAGGAAGGAAGAAAGAAAGAAAGAAAGAAAGAAAGAAAGAAAGAAAGAAAGAAAGAAAGAAAGAAAGAAAGAAAGAAAGAAAGAAAGAAAAAGGAAGGGAGGGAGGGAGGAAGGAAGGAAGGAAGGAAGGAAGGAAGGAAGGAAGGAAGGAAGGAAGGAAGGAAAGAAGGAAAGAGAAAATCACCTTCTTCCTCATAGTACAATTCTGAGAGAGAGGTGGGGAGGGAGGGAGGGGAAGGGAGGGAAGGAGGGAGTGAGAGATGGAGGGAGGGAGGGAGGGAGAGAAGAGAGGAGATAAATTCATGAAAAACTTCAAAAACACCAGTGATATTAAGAAAATTCAAAAACTGAATTTTCCTGTTTTAAAGGGCAGGTGTTCTTGGTGACTTGTGGTTTTCTAGTCTGCAAAAGAGTAGTTTTCTTTCCGTACTTGAATAAGGTTGGGGTATTAGGCACTCTTTGAGGTCAGTAATGTAGCGTGCCCTAATCTTCAGAGCATTGAGTCCTCACATCAGCCTGCTCTTGAGGCACACTGAGGTAGACGTTCTGATGCTGCTGACGGTGACACAGTGCATAGAACAGCTGCATGGTCCACTTTGGCTGTAGTCAACACTGATGACGTAGCAGATGCTTTCAAGACAATAAAGAAAATTGCTATATTCTCTATGTGCCCTGGTGTCTTCATATTTGCCTTGGAAGGAGGGCTCTGAACAAAATAAGCTAAAGTAAATCTGGATTGTTTACCTACCTCCTATTCTTAATTAAGTGTTGGGATGTTTGCTAATCCTTCCAACCCCAATAATCAAAGAAGAGGTCAGGGTTATCTGCCTGCTTCGTACGTTGTCATCAGACAAACTCTGTGATTATTTTCTTTATCATTTCTATATCCTCAGAAGCATAAAGGGAAAGGTCCTGGCTTCTTTCTTGGACTGAACTTTCTAGAGTTTTATAACTGACAGCAGCCACAGTAGTGCCTTTGCAAATCTTGGTCCAGACACCCCAAAGCCACTTTTCAAAGACTATTAAACCACTATGCATACTTCTTCAGAGGTTTCAACCCCAAAAGTCATCAGGATAGTAAGTATTTTATGGCTCTACTTCTTATGAGGATGCCCTCCTCTCACCTGAGGAAAATTTTTGCTACTTCAACAGAAGGAAAATCAGTCCATTGAAATGCCCTTATTTGTCATAAAAAAAAAAAATCTTGGGGAAAACATTCAGGAGTGGACTATTAAGATAAATTATCCATGAGGTACAAGTGTCCTTTGCGTTTTCCCCTTTGGGATAGGTTTTGTCCTCATTGCTGACATGAAGAGTATCTGCTTGCAGATCTGCCCTTTTACTTCAGAACTAAGATAATATTTCCATTTCAACTGAGTCATCCTTGTCCTAAATATTGCATAATGGCACAGTCTGCCATCTCTCGTTTGCTTTGGCCAAACACAATGACAAGGCAAACCAGGCTGAGGCTCCTAAATCTCTTTGGACACTCTGCCATTTTGTGTGACGGTCAGATGAATTTATTATGTTGTGAGAAATTATAGTATTGAATGAGTAACACAAAATGCTACTCAAGAAATCTTAAAATAAAAAGGTTGCAGAAAGTAGTGCCTAATCTAGCCATGAAAACTGTATTCAGAAACCACAGGGAGAACATCTGTCATTTGAAACTTTTTATCAGAAATAGAGGGAGCTCAAGGTCAGTTTAATATTAATTCTCCCCCAGTTCTTTCATCTAGATATCAAGTTGCATTTGAATCTGGCAAAGGGTTATGAATGTAGGTCAGCTTAGCCTTCAAAGCAGAAATGTCTTGATAAATATTCTGTAGCTGTCTATTTAGTCTTCAATATCATTAGGTTATTTTTAAGTGAAAATGACCTAAACTTGCCTTTTCATGGAAAGGGAAATTCATTCCTGCTAAGTTGAAATTGCTTTTGAATAATTTATGGGGAACAGTGAATTCATCAGATCTGATGCTATCAGCAGCCGTGAGATTGCATTGTTCTATAATGGGTGCTATGGGAACAGCCAAGCTAGAGTTGGTGAGTCTGAGAATTCCAATCCAGAATCTCATGCCGGATACAGGTAGGCAATATTTTAGAAAAGAAAATCCCAAGTTGAAACTATGTAGTAATAACCTTTAAAATGCCCTCACTCTAAAAAATAGAAATAAAATATATATAAATAAAATATAAAAAATATAAATGAAAAGGAATGATATTCATTTTACCACTGTGAAATTGACTGTGACCAATATGTTGGCTCTTTTTTTGTCAGAATATCATCACTGAGTGAGGAGATAATGGTAACTGGAAAATTATGATATAGTAACAAGGGCTAATAAATAAGAACATACAAACCTATAAAATGAGTTTTAGTCTGCTGAAACACAGTATATTTAACTTTCCTCAATTTACTAATTTATGGTATTAGGTCTTCTCCAAAGTACCATGTTTAATCTCCTCATTCATTACTTTTTAAATGTTCTTATTGGTCATCTTTTATTTGTGAAGGATACAGCTAATCATTATTTTAGAAATAGGTTAAATAAGATAAAAGTTTGTCCTCTCATAATCAGTGGGACTTGATCTTAAACTTCTAACGTGAGTAGGATTTGCAACGGTATCAGGAAATGGGCCAAAAAAACAAAAACATAAATAGATAGAACAGAATGAGGAAAAGCTAGACAGGTATGTATTGGGACCAACCAGAGAGGCATAAATGGATTCCTTTGGTTACATTATAATGGTGGACAGACCAAAGCCAGGTTCTGACAAAGCTGAATGCAGACTAAAGAGCTGCATTGTGCTTGAGTGCTGGCTGTGACTCTGGAAGCGTAAGTGAAGTGATTCTTTAATGCTATGGAGTGACTCTGGGTGCCTGGGTGTAGGGTAATCTAGGGACCCTCTAGTTAAGTCAAATAAGAGAATTCAAGAAATAATCCAAAAGAGAAGAGGTTGACTGCTGTGGTGGGACTAAGAACTCAGGCAAGAAGACTGAACTCAAGCTTATGTTCATGAGGTATCTGTTCATCCAACTTCTTCCTCCTTTTCTAGTTCCTTTTTCCGGTCATAAACCATCTCTAGCACTTAGATACCCTCTGATATTGTTCCTTGATTACTACAAGGAACCAGTTCCAATGGTACGTTATCCATGAAGTAGATATACTATCATTTTCCACATTCTCTCTAATGTCTGTATAATGGTATTTCAGTACAATTGGTTTGCATTGCAATCTTACATCGTTTGACTCACACATTTTAGAATGTGTGTCTGAAGTCCCCAGGATGGGAAAGATCAGGACTCTGTAGGTTCCTCAAGGGTCTAGGTCATGGTTTGAGGAATGGCTGGACTCAGATTCCAGATCACCAATGTCTAGGTTTATACTTGTGGAAGAACATTGTGACATCACTCACCCTTTCCGAATGCAGCCTTGCCTTTGCCCATCACCACAGAGGTATCCCTTACCACCAATTTACTAATTTCATTGCTTCTTTTTTTTTTCTTTGAGTTTTCCTGTTTTATGAACATGTCTTTGAAATGCGTTGAGGATATTGTTGTCTTTGTAGCTAAATGCAATCTTAACCTCTATGTCTTTCTAATTATCTTCTGGATAGTTGTTCCATAATAAATAATATGCTCCATTCTTCCTGGATCAAAGTCCGTTTGTTGTTGCTGCATGACAGAAGTTAACCTCTCTCAAAGGTGAATGCCAAGTCCCCATTAATTGACTTTCTTATGGGTGGAAACTGGCAATTTCCTGCTGGCAATAAGGCCTCATAAGGAATTGAAGAAGATGGCTGTGTAGAGAGAGGGGCATAACAGAAAAGTGTGAAGAAGATGTTTGCGGGGGGGAAGGGCAGGGACTGTGCCAGATTTCCTTTCAGACTGACTGCTCTACTGTGTGACCTGTGTGTTGCAGATATGGACACACGGACACAAACTGGTGGCCTCTGCTATGCAACTTACCAAAGGCCACAGCTTAGTCCAAAGAAATTGAAAAGAATTGATAAATCTTTTTTGACTTTGTGCTGAAAATTAAGATAATTTCAACAGACTTGTTGTTCATGAAGTTCCCATATCTTAATTTCATTTCCTGTAAACGTAAGATGACATTGGTGACAGAAAACGCTGTGCACACTCTAGGACTTACTAGAGAACTCACTGCTTTGACATTTTACTTTTCTTTTAAATATAGACATAAACTAACTAATGAACAAATAGCTAAAAGTTACGCACAAAACTTCCTGAATATTCTCTTGCATTGTTGGTTCTGACATTGTTCTGAAAATCTGTAACATGCCATTATAGGTCATGACCAAGAAAATACATAGAGAAGTTTGATGTGAAGATTAGAGCCACAGATAGAAGGTTGCTTCAGGTCACCTAAGATAGCGTTAGCATTGCGATGACTTTTGCCTTTGAAGACGTGTGGGGTTCATACTGAGGAAAGGGACAAATGATTATCTGTACAGGACAGAAGTTCAAAGGACTAATGTAGCTATTGAGCATCCAGAAAGCACAACTAAAGTATCTTGTGTTCTTGCTCATCTTAAAATGTTGTAATTAAAAGTACTTTATTGAATGTGCCTGATTGTTTTTAAACATCTTAACTGTTTGTTAGATAGGAATTCAAAGGTCAAATTCAAAGTTTAGTTTATTTTTCTACATAATTGTTTAAATGTCTTGACTAAAACAAACATTCACAGAGGTAGCAGACATCCAAACATAGGAAGTGCTTCTCTAGATCATAGTCCACATCTTATAGTCTCAATCAGGGAATGTGTAGGACTGGTGGTTATACGTGTTTTTATTAGCAGTAAGGAAAGAGATATGCATATGATTCATAAGTTTTATAGTCTTTGTGTTAAATGTAGGTAGTAAATTTCCACCCTCCCTGATGTCATACAAACTACTAGGAAGTTGGAATGATTTTGAACAAAACATCTTTTTTAAGAGATCCAAATGCCTCTATTATGCAGAAATTTTTTTTTCATGAATGAGCCAACTTAGCAATTAACATTAAAATATTTTCTTCATAACATGAATTTCCTTCAAAAGCAATTCTTTTCTCATCTGTAATTAAAAGATATTCTTTACTTTCAATGGGCAGATCAAGTTTCATTTTCCCCTAAATATCTTCATTGTACGACATGACTGATAAGTACTTATTACACACACACACACACACACACACACACACACACGCATCAGTAAACATGGAGGATTGGTTATTATTAAGTTTTTCTCATTAATAAGGAAACTGATAAATGGATGCTTCATCCTTAAGTTTGACAATCTTTCTGTTATGCCACAGAACACTTCTATGTTAGATAAAACATTGCTATGATCATGGCCCCACACCATAAAATGCATTGTATTTTTTTAATAAGGAAATGTAATTCATCCATATCCTTAACCACAAACTAATTTAACACTGTACTGAGGAGAGTGAGCACACATCTGCCTATGACTACACAGTCACACCTCCACATTGTGGAACTCATACCCTGCTCTCAGTCAGTAGAGTTGCAGGCACCCAGTAATTTAACTGTGACTCAGAAGTACAAAGTATATAATGATAACACAGACAGGCCATGTATGAAATATTCCTAAAGTTTAATGAATTACTATGTTTTAGGCAAATACTTTTAGATGTAAAAAAAAATGGAAGTTGTGTTATTTTCTTCCTATCTCTCAGGCTTTGGGGTATGTATCACAAGGATGCTGTGGGCTTAACCTGGGTAGTGTAAAAATTTAAATGATTGTTAAAGGCTAGTGGTGTCAGTGACATGATCCATTTATTAGTGTTTTCAGTTTTCTTCCTGGACACAGTGACTCTCATAGACAGTATGTTCCTAAGTTCTGCAATCCTATCGAAAACAAAGCAAAAGTTGAAGACTAGAAAAAAAATTGTGGTTTTATGAGAGCATTGTTAAGTTGTGGGGTGGGGGAGTTCTTTTAGAGATCTTTTTCTGAAATACCTAGCTGCCGGAGATGAAAGAAAGCAACCATTGCAACAGAGTGTTGAGCCAGCTTTCCTGGTGACTCATTGAAGACACAGCCCCGAGCTTATGGGTCCTGGGTGTCCACAGGGGGAATTGCTCCACAGCACTTCCTGGGTCAGACACACAGTCCTACGTGGCCTGATTAAATGCAAGGGTTTGACGGCTATCAAGGCCACCATTGCCTCCTCTTTTTGTTGGCCTGTGTATGATCATCACTCAGTCAACTGAGTTTAAAAACAAGCATTATTTAACTGTTACTGACATTTATGAACAGTCTGAAGCAACATACAAGAAATGACATACTGAAAACACTCTCCTTTTACATTTTGTTTTGATTTTTACCGTGAAGTTGATAGTATAAAAATAGGAACCTCTAAATAAAAATAGCCAGACAAACTAAATCAAATGAGATAAATGTAATTGGACTGTATAAAGTAAAAAAAAAAAAAAAATGCCAGAAATTTCAAGAAATGTTCTTATATGTCTAAAAATATATGTCCTTAATAATGCTTGTTTCTTTACAATGCTGATGTATCATATATTATAATCATTGTGACCAGGGAAAATGTCTTAAATACCATGTTCTCACTCTTTCCAGGAGTTGGCTTCTCTAATGTCAGGAACCCAGTGTTTGTGAAAATAGAATCACTGCTTCTCAAGAAAGCACAATGTTGGGTTCCTGCAAGGGACTGATCACATTTTTTCATCAATGAAATCGATATCCAGCCTTATTTGGCAGTCATTTCAAAGATGCCCCCATTTAAATATGTAGTTGTTTTCTTATACTGAACACACCAACTTTCAGTACTCTAGCTCACGGCTGAGTCAAGCGTGCCTCATATGGACAGTGTATAATAAACAGCGCTACTTTTTTGTGCTTGGGAACACTAGACAGGACACTGGCACCATAGTTGGGGACCATTTTAAATTAGTAAAACCACCAATCAAGCCAACAAAATAAAAAAAGAGAAATGCAGAAAAAAATAAACAAGAAACAAAGCCACCATAACATTGGCATGAGTATTGATCTGGGAGAGTTACAAATGAGTTTTAGAAAGTAGGCAGATTCATAAACATGGAATCCCTAGATAACAAGCATCTACTGTTCCTTATGAATCTTTGTGTACTAAATTAAAAAGCTAAAAATGTAAAAGATTTTTTTCTTTCATCATCATATTTTATTAAGAGCGAGGTATACAATAGTAAAAATAACATGTTAAGAGCTTATTATACACAGAATAGAAACCCAGGAAGCATTTAAGAAACATTTAACTCTAATAACTACCAGGATAGTTAACATTGTCCCCCCATTTGGGGAACAACAAGGCTTAGAAAGGGAGTCGTACCCCCACTCTCTTGTGTGCTTCTTAGCTGAACCCAGACTCTGTCTATCTAGATGCAAAATCAGACTGCCCTGTTACTCTATGCAATACAGAATTCACTCTGTTTACAAATCAGTTGATATTACTGTAATCCCATTGTGTGAATAGAACTCAACTATGGCTTTAAGACAGCTGGCCCCTTCTTCAGACTCACATAAAATTGATCTTGAACAACCATTGACACTGCTCTAGACCATGAGATTCAAAAGAAAAAATTCTGCCTTGCAGAAACCTTTAATCGTATTTCCTCAGGAACCCATTCATTTGAGTTTGCAATGCCTTCTCAGAAAGAAATTTAAAACATGGTCTTTAAGGGGCATAAATGTGGTTTGTTGTACCTTAAAGGTGTGACTGGCTCCTCTCTGTGATTTTTTACAAATAACAGAAAATTATATCACATCTTTGCCTAAAAAGTTTCAATAATACCTTTTCACCTATAAAACAAAGTCAAATTCTTCAATCTGGCGTTTATAATGTCCACAGTTTGAACCTAACCTTGAAACCTGCCCTAGGCATGTCTCTATTCTCATTTGTATCCACTGCATATGGTGCTACCCCAGCACACAAAAATCCTGGCCATTTCCTTCTGCCTGGTACTTCTCAACTTCAGTTTCTAAAGTTGTTAAAACACAGCCTCCTGCCTGAGATCTCAGTATCTTCAGGTCATATTTAGTCCTACCCCATTAGTCTGTATACCTTTGTCCTCAAGAAAATGCTTACACAAACAGTAGTTGTTTGGCAAATGTTAGATAAAGGAAAGTTTGTGAAAGAGTCGTGAGCGCCCAGGAGTTAGGCAGGTCTCAGGATGGTTTTTACATAGGAAATTGAGATTTTTTTTTTAAACTCCTGCTTTAAAATGATTGAAATTATTTAATTCCTCCATGTCTTTGTGCTTTAGTTTGCTCTAGTTTTGTTTGTTTGTTTGTTTGTTTTAGAGAGAGAGGGAATGAACATGAA